TTCCATATTGAATTGAGACTATAACTTATTGGAAATAAGTTAACATACCAATAAACCATTAATATTCTTTTTACTCTAAACTAAATTACAATTTAAAATAAATATTTTATACTCATTTGCTACTTACCGTTTTAATCCCCCTAACTCTCGGAGGAGTGAGCTGGTCTGGTGGTAGAGAGCAGGATTTCGGGCCCTAAGATCTCGGGTTCAAATCAAGCCAAATCACCAACGAATTTTATCTAAGTTATAAGTGATAACCTCTAGGTCTAGCTTGAAGTAAAGTAAAAAAGCAGTCCCTTGCATCGTAGGAAAAAAACTCCCTGAAACTCCTAGCAATATACTAGATATATGATTTCCTTTCTAATCCTCACTATTTAACTTCTTATTATCAAAATATTTATTCCATTATGGCTCGATTGTGCCATAAATGCATTCATCTCGAAGTAAGAGCACACGTATTTAACCAACCGTCTACGACGGGTGGGCTATGCATAATCTTAGCATTTTGTAATGACTGGCTCAGCAAGTCTTACAAAACAATAAGAAGTAAGAATGCACATTCTTCTTATTGTAGATGGTTCTATGGAGACAAAATCATTGCTGGGGGGTAGGAGTAAGCATACAAGTGACACATGGCTATGGTCACAGTTGTGAAAGCATTAATTAATTATAGATTAAATATGTATCATAGGTAAATTGAGATAAGATTAAGAAATCTATATATTTCATACGCAATGGCAATTCCTATGAAACACGAATTCTCCGTTAATGATATTCTGATATTTACCAATGGTTTATCAAAATAATGTATTTATTTATATAGACACCCCCTTCTTCCAATTGCCCTTTGCCAAAAGTCCTCAGGGCTTTCCCCAAAGGCTTTTGAGTGTTCGTGAAGTCATTATAAAGTAGAGATTTTGTGTACTTAAACAGAGAGTTTACTTCCATCCATTATAAAATATTAAAACCCCTTAAACATTTTATAAGAGGTTACACGTTGTTTAGTTTATAATTAATAAAACAATTTAATACTTTTTTTTTTGTCATACTTCAGCAAAAACAGCCGAAAAAATTGTTATTCCCTAGAAATTGGAAAGCCTCTCGACTAACTAGGAGTATTTTTTATTTTTTATTTCTAGGTAGTAAAAGTATCGGTTGTAAAGTCAGTTGGAAACTTCGATTATGAACAATCGCATGTTCTGAATTTATGTACATTTATATCGCCTGTAAAAATAGTATAATTTTGATAGAATAATGTACACTAACACAATCGTAATAGACGATACGTATTGAACCTCTTAGAATTAATCAGCTGCTTAATTTTAATTTCTTGGCAATCTATATATATAAAAGGCAAAGCCCTCACTGATTCACTGACTCACTGACTCACTGATTCACTGACTCACTGACTCACTCACTCACACACTCACTCGTCACTAATTCTCCCACTTCCCATTTACCTAGGAGGCTGAAATTCGGTACACCGATTCTTTGGGCATTACATATGAAAACTAAGTTGTTTTTATTCTGATCGGGCTTTCGGGCTCCGCCCCAGTGGATCTGGAGTTACCCATGTTAACCTTATGATTTTTCATATTTAAAAGGAATTAATGAATCTTAATTAGCTGTTTCAATTAAACAAGTTTGTTCTGGTCTATGATGTTCAGTAGCATTAAAGTTACAAGGATTACCAACAGGGCGCAGCACTATTATATTTTTTTAATTTATGACAACAGCTAATTTGCAACCAAAAGGTGAGTGAACGAAGCGAACGAACTTTAACCTGGAGGCGAGTTAGCGTAGTGAACGAGCTAACCTGAAGGCAAGTGATCGCAGCGAACGAGCTCCAACCTAAATGTGAGTGAGCGCAGCGAACGAACTTCAACCAGGACGTGATTGAGCCATGCGAACGAGCTCACTTACGAAGTTAAACGGTGCAAAGCCAGCGGGTACAGCTAGTCTGATAATAAACGACGTTAGGTTAATAGAACAGGAGGCTCACACTGCTATCAAAGCGTATCTGTAGAGTGCGCTCTTTAATTGGCAATTATTTCTTGTCCATACTCGGTGACGAGGATACGATGAAAAGCGTACAGTTCACGCAGCTAGTCTGGGCGCGCGGACCCTTGTGTACTAACCGTCCCCCACGCCAAAGCCATGAAGACAGCAGTGAGGCGCTGAACAACCCCAGTGTGCCGTGTGGGCCGAATGTTTTTGGAAACGAGCAATAAACACTCCCCTCTACACCCCCTGTCCTAGCGCGGCCGCGCGCCCAGACTAGCTGCGAGAACTGTACATACTGTTGAAAAGTAGTTTCCAAGTTGTAGGAAATCGGACATGGACCATGATGCATTAAACAATGCTAACAACGTGTTACTACTCCATTGTTAAATATATATTTTCTGTTAACGTGTTTTAGTTCCTTACACATGAGTAATTATGCAGATGTTTCCTTCTTTATGCTAAATCAAAATGTTTTACTTTTAGTTCAAATGCCTCCTAAACGTGGTTGTAGACCAAAAAAGTAGTACAAAAATGTATAGGAACTGTAACCTAATACGGAAGTGGAATAGATTTAAAAATATTATAAAATCCACTACGTGTTGGCTACAAACAATCTATTTGCCATGAATTTAGACAAGCAACTGCATCTGCTGAAACGAGAGTTGTGTAAGGCTAAAAGGCATCAAGCCCTACAAGACTGGATAATCCAACAGGCTGCAGTGATCCTCTTTGATGTGTAAATTTGTACAAAGGGTCTGAGAATGCAGCCAGGTAAGCGATTCTACTATAGACTACAGTTTCATCTGCTCGCCAAAAGAAAACGCTTTGAATCCTGTTACAGCTCACTGCTCTAAATATTATCATGTTGGTTCAATCTTTCTATGGGGACTAATGGTTATATTGGTCAATCTTTCAACTGATGGGACAAATAACTTTCAACTAATTGGACAAATAACCAATATCACCGATGGTATGGTGATATTGGTTTAATTCAAGAATGTATTGGACTTAAATTGCAAGATATAGGCTTTAGCTTTTACGTCCATAGTTGAATATACACCATGAAATGAAAATAAAGAACTATTACCAGCTATGTTAAGAATTTGGTAGTTTCATTTAACGTAAACAGTTTGCTACGGTCTCATTTACAAGAAAAATATATGTTCTGTATGTTTGAGCTTTTAAATGTAATTAATTTACATACATTCTATGAGCTTAAAGGAATAATGAGCCACAAAAAATCTGATAAGAAACAAAAACTCATTTACTTCAATGGTATACAAACCATTACAAGAAGAGTAAACTCATTTTAAATAATATATTTAAAATACTTTTTTTCTCTATATTACTGAAAAGTAACGTTTACACATTTTACCAAATCCTACGATTAATTGTGATTTTATATTTGAAGAGTCAACATATCAATCAGGTCCATAGGAGAGAATCCACCACCATATTTCACCACTGGAAGTTCTACAACAATTTTTTCTTGTCCTCTATATGCTCATTCCTTGATTTACTCGACAGCTTATGCATAGGCCTAATACCTATGTGGGTAAATTAAATGTTAAAAGAGGGCGCTAACCTAAACAATTTAATAATTTACACCAAAGAATAACACAAATCTGTATGGGGTTGACCCTCTTTTAATATTATCGTGTTAATTTCAAATTCATATTGGATTATTAGTTATTAGATTGAACAGGACCATTAGTCGTACAAAGTGCATCACTGGGATGATTGATCATAACTACAGAAGCTCGAGGGACGAAACCATCCATCAGCGAGTGAACCATCGTTCTTTCCGCTTCCTGATTGTGCTTTTGTTTTCATGACATAAATAATAACAGTGGGGTAAAATACATTTATTGTGTTTACATTTAGATTTTCAATTGTTGAGTGGATTTGATTGAACCACTTACATTCCTACGGCAAACAATTATTTGTCATTTTGCTTGAACAAAACAAGGAGTGTTTTGAAAATTATTCAACAAATTAATATTAAGTGATTAACAAGGAATTTTCACATTTTACAATGAAACATAAGCCTACGATGGTTGAATCTAAAATACATTATTGGAAGAACGTACTGTATAGATATTTTAGGAACTTATCAGTTTTTTTACCAACCTCATCCCAGAGAAATGGGAGTTTCAATAATTGGTGGCAATTGGTTGAAATTGCGTGACATTTAGGTTTTACTGTACATGATAGTGCTTGGAATTGATCAAAGCAGTCACAGTATTAGCATTGATATTGGATAGTGGTCAAAGGTATCAGGCAATCATGATTTCACGTAAAATCATGTTAACCACGTTAACAAAATTATAGGTTTATTTTTCTTACTAACCATACTCGGTATTAAATGCACATAAGTATCATTGAAATTAACTGTATTTTCATAAATTTCTTAAACAGCATGAGCGAATAAAACTGAAAGAAATTCACTATGTACTGCACATGTGTCCATTGTATTTGCCTAACTTCTATTTACAAAAAAGGGCCTTTGTCAGATGTTTAGTTAATTAAAATAACAATACTCACACTAAATTTACATCCAATGGAACTAACTTGTCAAAACTAGGGAGCAAAATAAAAATCACTTATCCTGTTTGTGCTAAAAATTATTAATCTAGAACCTATCTAGATCAATAATTTCTATCACGAACAGGATGTAGTAAAATTAGCATAATTTTAATACTCTACTAGATCTAATGCAAAATATAGTTAATTTTAATTTAAAACAACATTTTATAAATGAAACAAATTTAAAACATAATCTTATGTATTTTTATGAAACAATAACCAATGACTGAAACTAATGCTAAAATCAGTGGTGGTTTTTTGAAACTAATTGATTAGATATTGATAAATTCCTAAATGTCTGTTTAAAACTAACCTTAAACTAACTACAGTTGGCAAATATATAACATATGATTACATCACAAACATATTATTGTTTATGTTGTCATTTTCAATTAAATTGCTATGTTAATTTGAATCATCGTTAGTAAATCAAATGTATGCCTTTTGGGGATAATTTCAAGTTCATATTTAAATTCGTTTTAATGTGTATCTGTCTTCTTTATGTCTGTGTGTAAGTAATAAGTGTAAGTTTTGTAAATAATTTTGATCAACTACATTAATGATTTGACAATTCATATTTAGCCTTATGCATGTTATCCATATCTAACTATTATTTAATTCGGCTGCACTTTACTTTAGGTCCTACATTCATTTGAATGAAAATATCGATTATTTGGTTGCTTCATTCGATATATCGTTTAGATATATCTAGTTCGATATATCTAGTTAGGTAAGGTTAACCTAACCTAACTAACCAAACGATATATCGAATAAAGCAACCAAATAATCGATATTTTCATTCAAATGAATATCGAATGATACAATCAATTAATCGATATATCGATCGATATTTTCATTCTAATGAGTGTAGGACCTAAAGTAAAGTGCAGCCTTTAATTCCTGTAGCTTGACTCAAAGGCTACCAAACAAAACACGAGCCGATATTTTGGTGGATTGCCTGTTACCGTCATATAACCTAGTTAGATATATAAGAGTAATATTGTTTAAAAACATTATTAAATATGAAGAATTAATTATAATATGGCAATAATTAAAATCTTGAATCTATACTTATTTTTAATGATTGAATGTTTAAGCACACCAAAAAGGAGAATCAAGGGCACAAAAATCATATACACAATTGATAAATAGTTATAATTTAAAAGCTCAATGTGGTTACCATTTTATTTTCTTAAAGAGTCTCCAGAAGTGTCAGCGGTGTAATTTAGTAATGTTTTAATGTAATCTTGCAATCCTAACTTTTGTTGATAGGAGAAGGCACTCTGACCAATTAGTAATGACTGACTAAATGCAATTTTAGAAAAGCTTTATTTCACAATGAAATTCAAACTACACGTAATAAAGCATAGACAAAAACTATGCAAAACAGTTAATATAAGTTAAGTTGAAGAGAACTTTTAATGTTCAATTTGCTGATAAGGTATGCTACATTATTTTAGTATTTTGATTAAAAATAAGTACTTTGAGTCTATTGTATTTTAACGTAATTGCACTACCACTAATAAACTAAAATCGTAGATCAAAACTGGCTGACGCGTTGAAAATGGGAAACAAACAAAATCGCTTTGGCACAAATAAAAAATCTTACCATGGTAAGTTATATATATTTTTTTAAATCTATTTAGTTAATAAGTTGTAATGTGTTACAGTGGATTTAAATATGGACTTGTACTTTACAATCACAATGTATCAATACCTTTTGACTCACTGACTGACTGACTTACTGACTCACTCACTTATCATTAATTCTCCTACTTACCACTTACCTAGAAGACTGAAATTCGGTACACTCGTTCTTTAGGCATTAAATAGTAAAACCAAGTAGTCTTTACCCTGATGTGACTTTAGGCTCCACCCAATTGGCTTTGGAGGCTTCCCATATAATCTTATGATTTTTTTTTATTTACAATAAACTAGCTGAACCCGGCAGACGTTGTCTTGCCTTTGACTATTTATAATTTAAGTACCGTAACGTTTAATTGTCTTATTGTATATGAAGTGCTTATAACTAAATTAAAATACGTACGACAACTAATGAAACACATATAGTACAAAGGATAACCGATTCTTTATTAATGCTCTTTTATTAATGCTAGTTGGTAGACAATATTTTTGGTCTTTCTATTCGGCTCAATCACGTCCTGGTTGAAGTTCGTTCGCTACGCTCACTCACCTTTAGGTTGGAGCTCGTACACTACGCTCACTCACTTTTAGGTTGGAGCTCGTTCGCTGCGCTCCCTTGCCTTCAGAATAGCTCGTTCGCTACGCTCACTTGCCTTCAGGTTTGCTCGTTCACTACGCTAACTAGCCTCCAGGTTGAAGTTCGTTCGCTATGCTCACTCACCTTTTGGTTGAAAATTAGCTGTTGTCATAAATGTAAAAGAAATAATAGTGCTGCATCCTGGTGGTAATCCTTGTAACTTTAATGCTATTGAACATCATAGAACAGAACCAACTTGTTTAATTGAAACAGCTGTTAAGATTCATTAATTCCATTTCTCATAAGGTTAACATGGGAAACTCCAGAGCCACTGGGGCGAATCCGGTTGGACGGATCGCGAAATTGATGGTGTATAAATCTATTTCATGAAATTATACACGTATGTACCAAGTTTCGTGGCAATCGGTTCAGCGGTGTCTGAGTTTATCACTGCCAAATATATATACACACATCCTCTTTTATACTTATAGGTCAATAAATCATAACAGCTGTTTTAATTAAACAAGTTGGTGCTATGATGTTGACTAGCATTATAAAGTTACAAGGTTTACCAACAGGGTGCAGCTTTATTAACTTTTTGTTTGAACTTATTGTAACGGCTAATTTGAACAGAGTAGCAACAAAAAGCTATGATACACAATGACAACTGTCAAATACTAAAATGTTGTGGTATTGTGCGAATATGGTATTTTTAGTACATAATTCATCAACATATTGACTTTTCTTCCAAATCTTGATAAAAAGTAGCCTATCGTATTTGTTTTCGCCATATATAATATCTGGGAAACGGAGTAGCCTGTTAACTGTAGTGCATTGCTGATCAAGTCAATGACTTGGATGAAAGATACTAATATTGTATGAATAAATGTTTGGAGGATGTCAATAACGTGACAACTACTTAAACAAATTGAGCTGAAAATTTCCGCCAAAATATCCACAGGCTTAATGGAGATAGTATTCTTTTATTTTAGTACTCTCCTAGGTCTTTGTACTGACAGCTTTGTCCCATGTTGTTCTTTGAAGTAACCTTGAAAAGCCACTCGAAATGCCACCCAACTCGGTACGGCAATCAATAGTTTTATTAATACTTAAAAAGTCAAACGGGGCGAAGCCCTCGGGTAACAGCTAGTTGTGTATAGATTTGATGTACGTGTACTTACGACTTTATTTAAAACACATTTATTTTTAATGGTACAGTAAAAGTAAGATGACTGTTTATAATCTAAATAAAGGAACTGAAAAGATTTATAAAACAAGTAATAAGACAAGAGGCACTGAAATAAGGGATCAGTTCAACGAACATTTAGGACTGACACAATCACTTAGTTATAGAAACAATTGTTCCAAAAAAACTACTTGAAATTACTGGTAATAAATATTTATAAATTTATAGTTTTTGAAATTGTAATAGAAGATATAATATAAATATTTCTTAGTATATCTTCAAATTCTTTCTTTCAATTGTACACTATACAATTAACTACACTATACAATTACACTATACAATTGTATACTAGAGTTGTTATTGGCGCATCCTTTGTATTCTATAAAAGGATTTTTTGAAATTCCTACAGCTGTTGTAAGTAGATGCTTTTGATTGCTTTTGCTGTGCCTGAAGTTTGAAGTAGTTTGTGCATGGTGTTTTTTTTTTTAAGTATATAAGAGTAGTTTGTGCACTATTTAATCTACTATTGTAGTTGTCATTATTTAAATATTTATTTATTTATTATATTTGCCTGTTTTTGTGCATGGTGTGATTTAAGCTAAGTCAACCCAGTTTACTAACTGGGACTGTTATCCTAGCTGATTTGTTGCCAGATGATTATTATAGATGAATTTTCTGATTGCATGTAACTGCATGTTTAAAAGACCAAATAAAATTCTCATTCTCATTCATTCTTATTCTCATTCTCATTCTCACAGAACTTAATAAAAATCGTTTACAGCTTTGTATACTGCATGTAATTTTGTGTTTTAAAATAATTAGTGCATACCTATACATTTTCAGGCTGTAAAAATCAATATCAAGTTAGAATTTCTGAAGAGGATTACCTACCAATGACTCGAAGTATGAGAGAAACCCTGTTAAATGGAAAAAAGATTCAACGTGTTGTGCCTAGACCTGTCGCATGTAACGATTGCATTGTTAAAGTAGAGGATAATATAAACAGCAAAACTGAAGACTTTAATGAAGGCACATCATGCAAAGGAAAAGTTTTAAACGATGAAAATCAAAATGACGAACAGATATTTAGGGACAGTTGTTACTTACAGAATTCTTATACGCCATGCAAATATTTATCAGATAAAGCTGGCGTTTTAACACCAATAGTAACTGTTGAGAAAAGTGAAATAAATCTAAAATCACTAAGCCTCCCAAACAACAAGATTAAAGATGAGGCATGTATAGGGTTAAGTTCACGAGATGGACGTGTAAGAAAATCTTTAATAACAAACAGACAATTTTCACTAATAGATTTGAATACTTGCCTCGGAAAGTCAGAATTCACTTTAGATCTTGAAAAGAAATTAAGAAAATCGAAACGGGTGCTTGGATTCGATGAGAATTTGAGTGATTGGAAAGAATTTTCGTACAAAGGAAAAAGTAATACTTGCAGTAGAAGTACGAAGGAAAACATAACAAAGGAAATGTTTAAGCGAAACACTACAGAAAAAGCAAGAACAAATTTGTTTCAAGTATCTAATCCTTTGAATGATAATCGTCCCCAAAACTGCCAAGTTTTACGTCTATGTAGTATTGGGAAACCTCAGGCATTTTTGGATAAAACTAAACAAAATACATTGCACAGTGCTTTCCACTTGAATAAAAGAATTCCAAGTTGTCAAAATGTTGAAGCACATCATAAAGGAAAAATTTCTAACTGTGACATATGTACACTTGAATTTCTTACAGATATGCATTTTCATCATGGTGGAAGAACGACAACAATCAAGACACCGAGTGATAAAGGTCAGTGTAAGAATGTTAGAAGCAACAATGTTTTGGATAAGAATATCAGAATAATAAATAATAATAATGGTAATGCCTGCATTGACGTAAAGGTGAAACAACAATCGCCCCCAAATACGACTAGTGTCATAAGCAGTTCTCCAATGTTGTCTCGAAAAACCAGTTATGACTATACTAACGCTCACATAAGAAACATGTTTCGATACAGTAACTCACCCGGCGTAGAAGAGATTTATAAAAATCCATCTTGTGAAGAACCTTCTGTTGGTAATATACCATCAAAGTTGGGCAGACCCTCCCTATACCGATGTGTAGCCAAGAAATCAACATCTAGAAGACTCAGTCACCGGTCTTCTAAAAATAAATGTGGAGTATCTTCAACATATACTTCTTCTAGTTTTGTTTCATCATCCTCTCTTTCAACGATTATATCTTACAAGAGAGTTCGCAGGATATTTAAAACAATTATTGAAGGGAAACAGGTGAGAAGGCGCAATAAAATTGAGATATCCAAGTTTAAAGAAATGGAAGAATTGGGATTAGGCAAGTTAATAAACAATCGTTGGCAACCCAGTGAATATAAAGCGTTATCTATATGGAGGGAGATGCATGAAAATGTACAAGGTCTTCGGGGGGAGTTTATAAAATGTCATAAGCCTAATAAAATAATTTAAAACTAATAATTTGGGTCCCATTAATTGTAACTAAGCTTTTTTTATTTTCTGTTTGTTAAAGTGCAGTAAAATCCATGGCCAATACCGTAAACAGCTGACAAATGAAATATGATTCGGTTACAATTTTGACTATATTAACTGGATTAACTGTTTGATGATAATGAAAATGAAAAATTGTAAACTCATGTACACGTCAAAGTTGCCAAAAAACGAAAATTGAAAGTTGTTAAAAGTAACGATAACCTTGTTTGTCCATCACAGTTATGGACGAAGGTACGTCATTCTGTCGCCCTCGGTGTGTTTTGCTGTTTGTGATTCATCATAATTATTGAGCTGTCCACGAGGACTTGGAGTTATCCATCATTGGACGTCACAGATACCCCTTCCCTCTGCCTTCCCTTCCATTTTTGCTTTCAGTATTTCATACTTAGTTTCACTCTTTGTTAGTCAATTTATTTACGACTATTAAATGAGTTTAAGGATTCATATATCTTTTAAAACTAAAGGTAACACAGTACTCAAATATAAATTTTTTTTATTATTATTTAGTTTTGTAGAACAGACTTTTCTGAACACGTAGATAATAAAAATTAAGGAAGAAAAAAATTATTTTTAAAAATTTCAACTACTTTTATAAACTATTGCAGCCTAATTTAGCATGTCCAAGGTCCTACTACTAATCAAGACGCAGAGGGTACGCCGTCAAATATTAACTTTTTTTAAACATTTATTATTATTTAGTTTTGTAAAACACACTTTCCTGAACACACACATACCAAATATTATGGAAGAAAAATTATTGCTATACAGCGACTTTTATACACTCTTACTTAAGCATGCCCAAGGGTCCTACTACTACCCGTGAAATAATGTGAAATAATGTGGAATAATGTAATGGGGGTACTTTTGTCGTTTTCCGAAAGTCAAGTGGTTTTTAGTCAGGTACACTTTTCTTCCTCAATTTTAATCCAATTTCAATAAAAAATGGTGTGTGTGTTCCTCATATGATAAGGAACAATAATAAGAATCAGCTTCCATGACAACCAAATACCTTTGAAATAAAAAAAATATTTTATGTTAAAAATTACAAAATATTTTATGAAATTTTTAAAATCATTTCAAGTTGATAGGTTAATATTTGTAAAAGTTATGTGTACCTAAAAACTGTCATTTTAACATGGGATGGGATAGGGAGTACTGTGTCACCTTAAGGATATTATGTGACTCTACGCGTCTATACACGATTGATTATTCAAGTCAAGCATACACTAGGCTAAGATTAATATTTTAAAGCCTCTATTGATGGTTGAATATTTTTTTGCTTTAAAAGTTATACACAAATATTTGAGAAAGCAGTACATCTAAAGTGTTAATTAAAAAGTTCAATTGTTTAGTGTTTTAATCGTAAGTTATAAAATGTTCTCTTTTAAGAACTAGTTGCTGCTATACTCAGGCTAAAAGAAAATTACCCTACGTAAAATACTTTTATTGGATTCAAATTTGTTTAAAAGTAATCTACCCTATCACATGATCGTGAAGATTGGTTGGAATTCAATGCAAAATACACCACAATGTGGTTTTTGAAGGTCTATATTACCATTGACCATACACATAGCATATTAGGGATTACAACCAGTTAACAAATAATAAAAAGACAGTTATTTAGGAAAATAAACATGACCATTTAGTTTTGATTTTTTTTATATTTAGGTGAATGCAGTTGAAGACGTTGAATACGGAACTGCTATCAAACACGAAAAATTAAGGCCACGCCAATTTTGATATGGTAGATGTTTTACTTTCTGGTGATTGAAGGTGCTAAATATACTGTCCCAACAGAAATTGGTCCAGTAAAGATAACACAGCGACCATATTCAGTTTCAGGAAACACATATCTGCAAAGTTGGTAAAATCATATGTTCTATTATGACGAACATAGGCTGCACAATACCAATTAATCGTTGGGTCCTTTATAAAGGACCCTTTAAATTGTATTTTTATTTTATGAATAAGTAAATTGGAAATTCCACCTGCACATTTTAAACCTGCACAGTTCCATTTAATAGCTCCCTGAAGTGGATAAAAATCATTTCCACACTGACTTCATGAATAGACAAAATATTTGCCTTCAATTTTATTAATTGAACAGTGGATCTGATTGAATTTGACCAGTGAATCTACATACTCCCGGATATGAAGAAAAAATTGGCTTGTGTAAGTAATTAGCTTGAAAACACTTATGACTCAATACAACTTATGACTCACACAATATGACTCAACTCACTTCCTTTTACTTATCAAAACATGTTATATTAAATCAAATAGAAAAATATCATAACTAAATACAAAAATGAGCAAATTTTTATAGTATCAAAGATAGTATTTTCCCCAATATTCATCTTTGAGCAACCAAAAACAATCAGATGCCTGTTGTCTCTCCCTTGGTAAAATCTACTTTCTCTTCTTGTCATTAAGGTCCGTATTTGCCCACTACACTAGTGTCCACTTATAATTTATTTATGTCGTTAATATCTGCTATTTTGTCGTAAAAAATGCGGACATAAATAACCATAACCAAGTTTGCTGTGGTTTTAGTATGCTAGTAAGCAGTGCATGTTTTTTGCACTATAAATAACCTTAAACGTAAATTTTTATTTTCACGTTATTATGTTGGTTTTGCAAAACCTATTTACTTTAATGTTTATATTAAAATCGCGTTAATTAGGAATTATGATAGTTTTGAGGTATGTTATCCTGTATGTGGGTGTTTTTGTGTCGTGACGAAGAGTATCGCTGATAGGTTGTAGCGAAAGTGGTTTTCCGGCACTTTGCATCTCACGTGAAGTGTGATGTTCCAGTAAAAACTTACACACTCATGAAACTTGATCACGTACCGAAAATGCCACTTTTGGTACTTGTAACGAAGTATATTATTCTGCTGCACTTAACATTAAAGCCATGTTAAAAAAACTCTTATGACCTAAACCTATGTTGGTAACCCATAGAATTACAGTAAGTGGTTACCTTAACCACTTACAAAAGTTTGACAAAAGTTTGGCGACATTGATTATTTAAATGTTTCGTTAAATGTGTTTCTCTCCTTGCACATAAAAATATATTTAGAAATCCCACTAGGTAAACATTAAATTAATTCATATGTGAAGTAACCAGGTAGGAAAAGGACATAGCCAATGTTTCCATTTACAGCTCCTCTTATTAAACTGAAGTTTCCGCTCTCGCATGAACCACTCATACAATTATTAGTTCACTAAAAATGTATTTGATAAACAAATACTCACACTATTTTGGGTTTGGAAAAGCGACATAATATTTTGGCTGCACATTAAATGACTTGTGTTAATAACGATCTAATTCGACAGGATAATGCATATCTACAGATAAAATAAAGTGTTGTAAATCATCAGTGACAGAAAAGTTGAAATATTAAATTATTCTCTTCTTGGACACCATCTGAGAGCGTCTTACTTTGTAATTTAGTTTAGAAAAGACTCGCTGACAACTTCCTAACACTTTAATAAATTTACCTGCCAATTTCATTAATTTACTTTTCAAAGTTGGTAATCGGTATCCTTTACTCAGGGTTGAGCTTGATTAATGGAAGGTAGTATAATTGTCAAACAAATTAATCTACTGCAGGTTCATTAACACTGAAAAACTATGTTCATGCTTAAATGTGTACATTACAAGCTGTAGACATTGTTAGCGTGATAAAAATCTACGAACACATTCATTTGTTGCTGATTTAATACCAAAAGATATTTTAAGTTTCAAACTAGTGTATATGACAATGCAGATACACCAAGGCGCTTGTTTTGAGGTGTAAATATAGATGAATCAACTATTGATGAGTATTGAATGATTTAGCTGATATATTTGGTATAGACAAAAGCGGAATGATAAAAAACAAATGGATTGTAGTTTCAAACCATTTGGGTTACATTTAATTGATTATCCACATTCTAATATATCTAATATTTACAGTGTATTCAAAGTATTTCAAATATCCACAGTGGCAAAGGAATTACCACCTAGATTCCCCGAGGCCTAAGTAAAGCGAGAATTTAGGGTGAAGAGATTTGACACCACCGAGGCGAAGCTGCTGATGGCCAGGGGAGAACGTCCGACGAGTCTTTGGCTGCTTGCATTGCTGCGGACCAACTGAATGCAAACCCCGATTCCAAACGACATCACAACGCTCCTACGTCACTGAAAACGGCCCAGGCTTCCCAGACTTCTGTACCACCACTGCAATCAACACCGCAGGTGGAGCGAGAAGTTCATCACGATGGTTTTAACAACAGCGGAGGCACCGATAAAGGAAGCCGATGAGTCCGACCAACCGAGGTCCTCACCCCAGACCTCTTTTTACCACTCGGACACACTACTGAGCCTACCTCAGTCAAACCGGAAGGTTCGGGACTTCATCGAGACTCGCCTATAATCCAGCTCATGGCTCCTGATAAGCCCAATCATTACCCGAGATAAGGTCACCTTCCTTACATCCTGGAACGGTCTCTCTCGTCTGCTGAGTTGCTACATAGAGGTGTTTTTGGTAATGAACCAGACCACATCCAAGTCGTATTTTACCTCCTGGAACATGGAACCCCACTCTGCTGAATGAGGAGAGCTCGGAAGGTCAAGTGAGTCCTCCATGTCAACTACCTTCCAGACTTTCAACGCCCGCCACCAGTTCAGACCGAGACTCCTGAACAGGTTCCTGAACAGGAACCTTTGTTCCAGGAGTTAACGTCCCTCCTCCAGGAAGCACTCACTACCTCATCGTCGCAGCCCACCGAGGCTGACCGTATTCAGCCACCGCTTCAGAGCCCTTCGACCACCGAAAGGCTCCTGGCCTGGAATCCTTAGTACCCTTGAGATGAAAAAGTTGCCAGCTTGGGTTGATGTGTTCATCGTTGCACTCATGAGCTCTTGTCTCTGTCTGACACACATCCCGTTCTCCTCAAAGGAGGCAACATGATGCTCATCCCCAAGCCTCAAAAGGACCCGCTCTTCCCGGAAAACCACAGGCAATCTTTACGCTGACTGTGTTCTCCAAGATCTTCGAGTCAAAAGAATCATCTTGGCAAGATTCCCTAGAAGTTTTTTTACTCGATCAGGGTGGAGCGATATGGCTTCAGGAGGGGTCACTCAACCAATCTCCAGCTATTTGAGTGATGGACAACGTTTTTGCAGCAATATAAAAGAAGCACCATGCCATCTCTATCCTGATTGATGCCTTTGACAGGGTGTGGCACAAGGGGCTTATCTTCATACAGGATCCTAACGATCGTACAAGATCTTTACTTACTTACTTACAAGAGATACTTACTTACTTTCCGTGTCCGGAAATCAGACTTCGCTTTTCCAAAAATTAGCTACCGATATGGCTTTGTCATTCGCATGTAAAAGATCATCTATTGTGCAAGACTGGTCTAGGCGTGGGCAGGTCAGCAGATGGCCAGGATCCTGAACAGCACCACACGCGCACAAGATGTTTTCTTCGTCTGGTAAGAGACCCCATTTCTGCATGTTTGTCTTGCATTTTGGTACCTCGACCCTAATTCGATTTAGGGTCTTCCACACAGTGCAATGAAGGCCTCCACCAGGAGCCAGTTCCTTCCTGGCTGGTATGGGGGGTTATTCAACGTGGCCTCCCACCTTGCCACCCGATTGCTTGAGAATGATCCATCCAGGACTCGTGTCCGTGATAAAAAGCTCTTTCTGGACCGAAGCCGTCGCTCTGCAGGTCGGTGGCCGTGTAATGGGTGACGAGCGTCTGTCTCTTGCTTAGTCCTTTCTGCGTCGGCAGCGACATCACGTCGGATTGATGGAGGGGCGATCCCTATTATAGCATAGAGTTTGTGTACTGGGGTTGGTTTCAAACACCCAGTTACAATCCGAGCCATGTCATTGACTGCAATGTCAACCTTTTTGCATGTGACGATGCATTTCATACTGGTGCAGCGTACTCCGCAGCCGACACACTGAGCGCTAAAGCTGTGGTTTTGAGGATATTAGGGTTAGCACCCCAGCATCTGCTGGTGAGCTTCCTGATGATTATTCCATTATTTATGGAATAATCATCGCTGAGTTTCCTCGCTGAGACTTTACCTCTTGTCTCTTTATACGAGAATCAAGAGCTTCGCCTCTTTTCCCTGGCATCCATAGTCCATCGGTCTCTCGCTCTACGCAGACGATGCACAGCTTACAGTGGTCCTATAAATATCCTACAAGCCATGACTTCAAGAGAGGATGATAAGTGAGGATCACTGAATCCTCATAATCAACCCTTGTTAAGCTGCTAAAAGATTAAATTCGCCCCTTAAGTCTGATTTGAAGCGTTTAAGATTTATGCATATCTAATAGGTTTGTATGCATAGTCTTTGGAAAACCTGCTATTATCCACAATACATAAGTCATGTTTAAATATCGATTCTATTAAACATACTAGTAGTGTAATTAAATAATGTGGCCGCACTTTTGTAGTAACTTGGCAAGGTAACACATCAATTCTTGAAAAGTTTAGCAAATATTCGTGGATCGTTTGGTTAATGTATAGGCTTCATGTTAATCTTGCAGTGACAGCGTATAAATCAAACTTTGAGTGACTTGAGCAATCCATAACATCAGTCATGCAACTGTCTCTGATATGACGTATATAATTTGGCCAGCCACCCACACCTGCATCATATTACATGTATAATATATAACCTCAATTGGTATGCTTAATTGGTATGATTCACCTTTTCACACGAAAAAGCCCAGTAGTCAATTTGTTATTATGATGAAACAGAATATAATATTACATACCATTTGGAATCCAACAACACCCTTTCGATTGTCGAAATTTAGTAATATTTTTGAATTAATACACTTAAGAACTTAACTTGGTATAACCATGGTGGAATATAAGCATAATTGTGACTAAATATTTTTATAATTTAGCTAAAAAGTATATGTTTACGACAATGTACCACAACAGGTTAGACATAAATGTTGTGGGTTTTTACAAGAACGTTTTTACAAGAACGTTTTTACAACGGCCACCGACAAATGTTGGATAAATATGTTAGAGTGGATCACGTATTTACTAATATTGTCTCATAGATCCTTAGCCTACTGTGTAACTGGTCTCTGCATTTTATTGAGGTTGCATGTCCTTTTTGTCTCTTGGTGCAAATATAATCTGCCTTTAAAAGGCTAAAAAGTAAATAGACAAACTCCTGAGATTTAAACAGAACTGAAAGAAACCAACTCGCTTGTCTTTTGTAAAGCGAAACACTTTATGAACTTCAGAGACATAATAGATAACTAATGTGTACCGTTTGTTCACGAAAGCCTCATAACATTCATGTTTAGCTCTAGGCTTAAGCAACGTATCAGTCATACATCTGCGATCGTAATCGTCTACCATCAATAACCTGACGCCTCGCTACAACACTCTATCTGTCTGTTCAGTTCAGACTCTACATGATCATTAATTATCCCAATAACACCTGGTATCAGTCAAGTTCAACTCTGACTAGTTTGAGCTATAAGTTATAATTGGCGGTTAAAGTTAAGGGATCGTATTTGACATTTCATTACCATCTTTGACTGCCGTGGTCTTATAGTAGTAAATTCATTATCGCTTGCAAATTTTCTTATATTGGATAAAAATCATTTGAGTAACATGATAAAAGCCTGTTGAATTGTGGGCTTTTTGATGTTTTTTTTTATACAAAATACAATAAAATAATACTGTTAGTAGTTTTTTGTATATTTGTTAAGAAATTGGAAACGTGTTATGGATATTATTATAATGCCAATAACATAACCTTATGCATGGTCTAGTTTGACTAGGAAAGCGTTATATTTTTACCCTGAAAACAAATAAATGTCTTTGAATGTATAACTCAGGTACGTTTCTATAAGGCTAGCCACAAAGCTATATATTATTTTTTCCACTTCGATGGTATTCTTTAACAAACAAAACTAATAAGCAAAATAAAAGTTGTGTTTGATTTTTTCCCTCAAACGAGCTCTTAAAATATATTAAATTATTACCACCCACGGATTTTGCATAAAACTAAGGTTGTAGTTTCTTCTTTTATGAATGAATCCATTCGTTTGTAAAGTAATTAATAACGGGCAAGTAGTAATACAAAAATTTACATAATTTAATTTAAATACACTGCTTACGAATTACCTTTGATAACTGCATTGGTGTATGGTTTCAAGTTATACTGCTTATCATCAACTCTTATAAAAATCCGTGTTAATGTAGGACTTTAGAATCTTTGCTCATCGGGAATTCTATCTTTCCTTTTGTAAATGTTTTTTTATGAATATTTTGAACGTTAAAATAAATTACAATAAAACAATATTGTTAATATTAAAATATATGACACAAATAGGGGAAACTGGTACACTGTCATATAATTGGAATATTGTTAGGTTTAAAATACGGAAACAGATAAATTTAGTTACTAAAAATGGCTTACCATATTTCAGCCCTAAAATTGACCGACGTCGCTATATTTCCATAAGGTTCAGCACTTTTGGTTTAAATTTTTATTAGCCTCACTAGGTTATTTTATGACTAATCCGGTGAAGTGGGAGACCACATCATATGAGGCTTTTAGGAAACTCATCTGATAACTGCGTTTCTTAAGAAAACTCGTCAATGTTCGCCTTGTTATCACATAAATAAATCCCCTTTAAGCCTGGAACCCTTTTGAAGCTGTTAATTGTCTATTCTCAAACAATACTCTAGACAGTTTTCAGTTTTGTGGACGCCTAATGACACTTTTGCAGATGCCTCTGTTTTAAGATTAAAGTTTTTCAATATACACAATAATGCACTCCTGAAAATTCATACAAATAACACGTATGCAGATTATTTAAATTCCCTGGATGACAGTGTGTAATTAAATAAGTTAAACCTAAAAGTAGATATTTTTGTCTATATAGAATCCAAAGATTTACTTGTCAGATCATCTCACATGGAAACGTAGAGGTCATCTTTCACGACATGAGCATGGTTTTCTCAAGCATCATCTTCCTGGACGCAATTTACGTGACCCTACATCGTGGAAAATAACAAACGGTGATTTATTACGGATTGTATTGGTCATTATTAAAGACATGAACGTCCTACTCCGATACAAAATGTACATCAACTGTTCCATCGTCATCAAAATCTAAGTAACATTCTTTGTTTTTCGGTGAGTTAGGCAACTTGGCCACTGTAAGCTATACATGATTGGTTTTAAATGCATTACTTTCACTTTATTATTTCCTGTGTCCCAATGTCCCATACCGGAACATTTCTTAAGGAAAAAAACAAACCATTGATCCAATGTCTGCCTAAAAAAAAAATAACAAAAAAAAAACAAATCCCATTTTAAATTCAAAGTCCTTATTCATTTTTTTTCAATGCGCTGACTTCAATTCTGCTGGATTTTTTGTTTGTTTTGTGAAAGTTAACGTACAGCTATGATTTATTATCTATGAATCATAAATGTAAACTAACAGGCTATTTTTAGATTTTATCAGGCTTAATCGACTTTTATGGCTTCAACCCAAAATCTTAAGTTTATAAGTTTGCTCGGCTAGACACGTGTTTTAAGGTATAATAAGTGGACATGTGTCTGAAAATCAAAATGTGCTTATCGGGAACTTTTTTTGAATGTGCCATTTTAAAAACCATAAAATAGAATAATGGTCTGTATCAATGTTAACCATTCAGTTTTTCCACACCGAGAATACTGAAGGACAATTGAACATGTCTGCAACTCCCAGGAGAGACGATGTTGAGTTTCTGCTCACGTATCTGGACTAAGCTAAAGTTTTTCTTTCCTGTGGACAGTTTCATTGAAACAGAACTTAAGTAATCTCTCAGGTTTACCAAATACTTAGATACATTTTAGTAGATAAATACAAAAAATGTGCTTGTAAATAACAAAGAACCAGCCTTTCACTCAGCGAAGATACGATTTTGTAAATTTTAACACTGTCTCAATTCCATGCAGAATAATGTTTCAGTTATTATTTAAATCTTCAGCAAATTTAAACATAAAGTCCAAACAAAAACTCCATCAGTGAATGTAAAGTTACAACGAAACTCACTCTCAAAAATATTAAAAACCTTTCTTGTCTTCATCACAATCAACAATAAAATAAAACACAACAAAACCTATCCTAATTTATTTATTAAACAAATTTACAATAATTAAAAAAATATCTGTCTAAGTTTTTTTAATTATCATATACGAAGGGAATCACCTTAGTCATTTGAATCAGGAGTGAGTCAGGAGTGTGGGATTTGTACCGGGGAGGATGGTATTAGTGGAGATTATAGCCTGCGGATACCGGAGACGTGGACGTGCTGTGGGGGTGCTGGTGGGGGTGGTGGGGGAGGGATTGGTGGTGGTGGTGGGGGTGGTGGAGGTGGTGGTGGGGGGAGAGCAGGAACAGGACATTGATCCTGACAGACATGTGCAAACACGCGGCAAGGGGCGCTGGTGCCTCCGAGGACGTACAGAGGCAGAATGTAGACCTTCAGGTTGATGTTGGGAAGAGTACACTCCATGTTGACGTTCTGGACGATGTACTTGTTCTCTCTAGCAAGGATCCTAGAGGACTTGTAGATGTCGAAACCGATGATGGGGACGGCACCGGAGTCCACCCCAGGAGAGTCGATCATCACTCCGTACACATTAGGCTGACTGGCGAGGTACCTAGCCGCCTCTGGAATGATATGAGATATTATTCTAGGAGAATCACTTTTGGCTCAATGATGGCTCTGTAAAACTCAATTGTGAGTTTTCCTGGGTTGTAGGGTAATTAGACGACTTCAATCAACTTAATATTTTGCTATACCAGTTTTAACAACTTACATTGTATTACAGTTAGCTTTGTTGCTATCGCCTATTGTAACAACAAAATTGAATCGAATGAACATAGTTTCTTAATATACCATGTTTGTTTAGCCAAGAAAGGTGTCGGCATGTTACTAAGTCCCTCAAAGATGCATAATGAATATGAAATAGAAGAACTAATCTACATTTTCCAACCAAATATATTATAAATAACTCATTTTATATAAGTGGGATTGATACCAAATTTAGTTTCACAACATAATTAATGTAAATATAAATGTTTAACACTTTCTGTAACCCAAAACCATCGAAAAGCTTTGTTTAGTATGTAAAAATACTCACACATTCTTAATGAACCACTATATACTTTACACGCAATTTTTTTTTTACAAATCAAATATGATATACCGTACTAATATAACGTTTATAGTTAAATATTCGTGATATGAATACAATAGTTTTGGAATGTTTACCTTCGGAGATGCCTGGGTAGTTGTAGTCAATGGGCAGCAGGTCCAGACCTAGGACACCCTCAAGACCAAACACACGCTCCTGGTTGGGCCAACGGGTCGCCCATCCTGTGTAGAAGATGACCACGGTGCCGGGACCGAAGCATCCGTACTCGTTCTCGTTGCAGACGATGTCGTCTACTGTCGCTTCATAGTTAGGGTTAATCTTCACTTGGTCACTGATGTCGATCACTCTACCTGCACAAAGCCTTCTTAGATACCGTTTGACATTTCATGTTGTCCTTAATGTTAATTTGTATACCCTTTGACTTTTGATACCGTGGCAGACCTTCCATAATAAATGCGGACCTTTGTAGTATTTTCACGGAGAACAAAGACAAAGAAGCCAAAAAATAAAATTAAAATAAAATAATAAAAAATAAAATAATTAATAAAATAGAAAATAAAGTGTACAATTTTTATTTTCTATTCTAGCTTTACACTATAGTTACAGTGTAGAGTAACATGTTCTTTCATTTTGACTAATAAATGATGTAAGTATGATATATTATGTTAATGTTCTTTTAACTATTAATTAAAGTATTTTAATTAAATAATCATTTCTAAACAAGATAGTGTTTATTCTCCAAATTCATAACATAACATAAAAATCAACAACTAGAGATCAGCTGGTTATAGCAATACCAACATCTCCCTCTCTAACTTTTAAATGGACGAATGAATCTTCTATTGCGTCTAAATAGTCTTCCGTCAATTGCTACAATGTAAGTTCTCAACCCATCCACAGTTACTATTACGCCAGGCGTCCACGGTTCTGCTTTCATGTCTGGTCTCTTCTGTATTAATACCTTTTGCCCAACTTTAAGTGGGTCCAATGCATCATTTATGTATTAATTAAAACTATTTTAATTAAATAATCAATTCGAAACAAGAAAGTTTTTATTCTAAGAAATCATAACATAACATAAAAATCAACAACTAGAGATCAGCTGGTTGTAGCAATACCAACAGTTAACTAAGTCTTACAATAGTACATCGTGTCCGCATGTCAATTAAAAGTCCTATCTATTAAGTTCTATTTATTTTAGAACAGTTACATTCTTAAGAATGTATATCGTGTCTTTACTTGACAGTATAGCATGTATTATCAAGTGTATTAGATTCCGACAAAATGTATTTGCATCAACTGGCAATGAACATCCCTGTACATAATTCTAAATTACGATAAAGTAAAAACAATGGATCACATCAAAATGGTAATCTAATAATTGTTGGAAAGATATTGATGGGTTTAGAAAAGGTAATCTATTGCCCCAATAATGTATTAATATGATTAACTACCTAATGCTTAGTTTTAGTTTTTAACCAATATTTCGGCAGATAATATTGGTTTACTCACACACTAATCAAAGGCCTGATCAACCGTTACTGGATTCGCTTCAGGCTCATATCAAGCGTAACGCTAACGTTATTGCTAAACACTGGTAGGCACGTTGTTATCTGAAGTGAATACCATCTTGTATTTAATGTGCTTTTAATAGTCACACCAATCTCACTTGTAATTTCTATGGAAAGATAATGATCGTTGACAGTCGTTTAAATTAACTTCAACGAGTAGAAACAAAAAAAAAAAACAGACAAGAGGAAAAAAATAATTATATTCAAATAGAGTAAGAATTTAATATTGTTGTTTATTTAATCTAAGACTATATTGGGATTTGAACGGAAAAAATGCATAGCCTTATAAACAAAAATCATAATATGTATGAAGACAAGTACAACTAATACTATACCAACTCGATAAATAATTCACGAGTTAAAAAATTGAATTACCATCGTTCGTCTTTTATTATAAAAAATTTCTTTTTAGATTTTAATAATCAACCCGTTGTACGTTTTTAACAATTTTATAATGGAACTTAGTAAAACGATTTTTGTGGTTTAGTGATTATGTTGAGCTGAGAGAATCTAACTATACAGTGTAATACAAATGAAGTTCATGATTTTAAGAGTACATAAATTATAGTTGTTATTATTTATATATTATTTATTTATTTATATATATATTTATTTATTTATTTATATTTATTTAAATATTTATTTATACTGTATATATATATATATATATATATATATTTATCTTTATTATAGTTGTTATTATTTATAGCGTACATAAATAATAGTAGACATTATATGTTGTTTTATATGTCCGTCCTATCAGTAATCAATTTTTAATCTTAAATTATTGTTCATCCTCTTAATAACTAATAAAAATGCATTTAATGTATGGTAAAACATGTTTGTGATGATTTTTAACTATTTACTAATATAAAACAATCATAAAACATAAAAAAATATTTTATTTATTAAAAATAAAAAAAACAGTACTATATGTGGCGGAGTATTCCCATGAAACAATTAAAAAATATATAGTTTTCAACAATTAATGAAAAAAAAAATTGAACATGAACAAAACCCAAAAATATAAGGGACCTAGGCTAATATCATGTAAAGCAAGTCGAAAGTAGCACTAAATTTACACAATCCTCATTACTAAAAACAATTAAAAGTACTCCCTTCATTTAAATATTCTGGATAATATGCGTAAAAATAAATAACATTTAGAACATAAAATGTTTATCTTTCAACCAACTTAAATGTATTGCAGTGAATACCCTAAATTATATAAAGGCTATAAAGGCCCTCTGTAAGTAAGTTTTTTTTATACGGTTTCTTATAAATATTCCGGACAGTAAAAACTCATATTTAATTTTGCTTATTGAGTATTTTGTAGCTATAGGTTATATAACCATTGACTATACTATCTGTTTATAGTCAATGATATAACTTATATGGTACCTTCAATAAATAGATTCAGACGTGAACATGTATAAAAACTACTGATAAACAATAGTTTCCATCTTATATTTTATTTAGTAACGCAGCTCGTATCGTAAAATGTGTAGAAACTGTTTGTTACCCTTATTATTAAAATAATGTAACTAGGTAACAACAAATTATTGTATATTCAACTTAAAATCTTTATCCATAATGTTTAAAGTTGTTTTAAATAAACATTCGAATAGTATTCTAACTAATATTTGTATTATTTATGATAATTGTTCTAATTAAATGAAATACTGTAGGTTAAGAATAGAATTAAGTCGATGAGCTGACAGTAAAGAATTGGGTCGACATAGACAAAACGAACTCTTCATAAACCGATGTTAATCACCAGCATTGTTGAATTATTAATGAATTATTGACTGCGTCGGACGCTTTGTTAATTTGACAACGTTATTATACTTCAGCGTGTAATTAGTTTTTCATTAAAGTAATTGGATTTTCTTCCATCGTAACTATGCCTCACAAATTGATGGACTGTTTCTAAACAACATAAATATATTTTCACAAGATTTAAAATTCGCTTATTTAAATATTTAATGAATATCAGCTGTATAGTAAATATCATATTCCATGTACCGGTATATCAATTAAGGTAGTCATATTCCCTAATGAATAGCCTTACCGCTGTTAAAATTAATTATATTTGTAATTAAATCAAATAGGCTTTAAATTTTAAGCAATGGTATGTGTAAAAGCGGTATATTTATTTTAGTAATGCTTCCAAAGTAGATATGGATATTGTTAAATTATTTTGAAAAAGCTTTAGTATTAGAAATCTTTATTTCAACACCCAAAAGTCTAACAAAAGTCTTTAAAAGATAACAGAACTATAGCTTACCATTAAGTCTGACCAGTTGGCTGAAGGGTATTTCCGAAATCTGCCTACTGAACGGGTAGAAAGTAGCCGGAGCGGTCATCGAGGTTCCAGCCAGTCCGGAAACGGAGAAGTTGTAAGACAAGAAGAAATGAGGTTCCGGATACTCATAGGCGAGGTTGAGGTCGAAAGCCTGCGGATCCAACCCCGGATATGGCGGAATACCCTCGTAGAAGGGGTGTGTAAGGTCAAACGTAGACTCATCGGTGTAAAAGTAACACGGGTCCAAAATACAATTACCGAGGCCGAGCAGTGTCAAAAAGTAAACAGCATGGAGAATCTCCATGTTGGCTACATACGCGCCTTGACGGAGGTAACCAATAGTGGGGACTGCCTTTACAGCTGTTATCAGTAATATATAAGCGACAGGTTGATATTGCCTGATAAGCGACGTTATTTATTATAGCTCTCGGTAGTTTTCCTTATCGTTGAGTACACTGATACGGACAGTCGACTTTGGATGTTGTACGTAAGAGGGTGGGAAATGTGTGGGGCCCTTTGATTATTGGGAGGGATCCATACCGCTGTGATTATTGAAATAAGGCTTACGGTATGGCTTAAAGGGCATTTTGTTACGACGTTATGTTTTGGTAACGAAATTAAACCGTCGAAGGAGAAAAGGACATATTGTATGAAAACTTGTTTCAGCTGAATACTAGACTATATAATAAAAATTAGATTCAACGCAAAACGAAATGTGGTCAAGCGAGAGATTTAAAATTAATATCACTAAAATATACGATCAAATATACACTTTACTGTATGAGAATGATATCAAGTAGATTTTTAGTCTTACCCCAAACAGTCAAATCCTATTTTTATAATATTTGTTGTATGAAATTGAAATGTTGTCAAATAAACCAAATATTGTGTACAAAATAAAATAGTCTATTACACTACTAGTCACGTAATTGGACTTTCGTGACGAGTATTGAACGATACTTTTTATCACGATGAAAAAACTATTTCATCACCCTTTCGAGCTAACGGGGAATTTTAGTTGTAACATTGTTGATGTCAGGCAAAGTATTGTTTGTGTAGCGAAAGTAATGTTTATGTCAGAAAAAGTCAGCGGACCATTATTTTCACAGATCTCAGCTGTATGGAAATGGACTATTTTCAAATACAGAGTGATGAAAAATATTTTATTGAAACAATATAGGAATCTACAAAATTACCGTTCCCTTCAATTGCCGATGATTACAATATATTAGCATAACACCAATATTGCTACTTCAAAACCGTTAAGTGTAAGGTATAACAATTTTATCTATCTATGCCAGTTTTATAATGGATTTCGATCTTGATCTGATAAATCAACATTTTATTTCTCCGGGGATTAAGTGGAAAAGCAAGCTTAAGGCAGATCTATCAAGAAATAACTTCGATTGGGAAAAGCTCTTTCTAACTTGTCTACTTTCCAATTGTAATGCAAAAATGAATGTGTTTATAGCGA